AATTTTTTTTTAAAGTTTTGTAAAATTTGACCCGGCCGGGTTATGAGAACCGATTTATTAAGTTTGTATGGCCTTATCAAAAAATTTTCATTTTATTATTTTAATTTTTTAAAACAATAGATCAAAAGCAAATTTATAATAAAAATCTCCCCGTTTGGCATACAGACGAAGGGATAGTTTATTTAAATATTTTAGGTTTAAAAAAACCAGATTATAAGCAAATTTATAATTTTTTAAGCAATTTGCCTAAAATTGCTTACAATTTAAAAAACAAATATTTTTTTATAAAAGAATTAATTTAGTCTTCACTGGAGGTGAAATTCGCCACGATATTTTTTAATTATTATATGATCTATAGAAAATTTTGTCATGAATTATAAAGCTAAAATTAAGGCTTAAATTAAGATAGAGGTTAGGGTTTTTTAGGATGCTAAACATTTTTACTTAGCATACCGAATACTGGCCATTTTTGAGAAACAACATACTCGGTGAATTTCACCTCCGGAGAGCGTTAAAATCTTCCTTCATAGAAGACTTTTTAAAAGAACGATTTTAATGCTCACTGGAGGTGAGATTCACGGGTATGTTGTTTCTCAAAAACGGTTTTGGTAATCGATATTTGGTATACCAAGTAAAAATATTCAGCATCCTAAAAAACTCTAATATCTAATTTAAGCCTTAAATCCCAACCCTAAAGTTTATTTGTGGCAAATTTTCTATAAATCATGTAATAATAATTAAAAACATCGTGGTGAATTTCACCTTCGGTGAATACTAAATAAATTCTTTTTTGGAAATTTTTTTAAGTTTATTTATATATTAAAATAACATTTTATTAGAATTAGAAATAAACAAGATATATAATAAATTTGCTCAAGAAAAATGGGTTATTAGAGCACAAAAGATTTCTTTTGAAACTAATCAATATTCTAATCAATCGTTTAAACAAAAATTATTATATATTTTCCAATTTCAATTCCCGACTCACTAATTTATTAAAAGTTTTAATGTACAATATAAAAAGTTTGGAGAAGGGAAATGTTGTAGTAAAAGGTGAAAAACAATTAAATAGAAAGTTTTTTTTTTTTTTTATGTAAAAAAAATTTTTTTATATTACAGTGGTGCTGCTGTAAAAAACGAGCAAAAATAATGCAGCACGTCAATTGAAATAAAGCTCGTGCCTGTGAAAAATTCTATTCATTATTTTTTTAAAAAATTTTTATTGATGAAAACGATACTATTTACGAATGTAATAAAAAAAAAATCGAGAATTCACCCCGAATTGCGCGAAATAATACGATCTAACCTTTTTTTTTTTTTTTGCTCCATTATTTATGATTGCCACTGTATTGTTATGTTCTATTGTGCCATTTACAGTAGTTGGTGCATCATTAACTAATGAATCATTAGCTTCAATAGATACATCCAATTCCGTTGAAGAAGCACTCGAACCAGTAGCATTGTTATTAGGCCAAATATAGTTCGATAAACCCTTAACATTTTTATCCAAATCACAGGCCTGATAAAAAAGCACGTAACCCGACCCAGTTCCCGGAATGTCACCAAAATATTTTTGGATTTCGGCCTCATCCACAGGCTATCAGTGAGTCATGAAAAACATAAATTATTTTTGTGTATAAACATAATTTATAAAACATTTAATTTGTTTCTTACATCAACGTTTTCATCATCGAATAAAAGCCATTGCCCCATACTTTTCACTAATGCTACATAATGGCCATGGTACGGTCCACTATAAACAAGAAAATGTTAAAAACTACAGGAAGCGGGATACAACAAGGTAAATCAGTTAAAACTCACCTTCCAATATGCACACAGATCGCGTATAGTTCGTAAAGGCGGTCCGGATCTTCAATGTCATCACACTAATCAAAACAAAATGCTTAGAACAAGGTAATATCTTTTTTTTTTTTTGTTTAAAAGAAAAAAATCCAAGATAAAAAATCAACTTACAGTATTAAACAACCGCAATTCAAAAGGAAATACTACTCTATATGACAATTTAATATATCTTTGTAATTTATCTTGAAATTTGAAACGTTTCAAGTGAAGTGCTAATACATTAGGCAGTTTTTTTATTTTCATTCTGGTCGAATAGATGAAATAAACAAATAAATATATATGTGTGTGTGTTACAATTAAAAATATTGAAGATTAACATACCTCTTTTCTGCTTCTTGATAACTGCAACAAACATCACAAAAGAATTTGTCTTTATGACATAACATCTCACTCGCAGAAAATTGTCGTAAACATGACGTGACTGAAGAATTCTGTTCGATATCAATGGATAGATCAAGAAAGGATTCGTCTCGGCTAGTGACCTAAACATTATATAATGATATTGAGAAATAATAACATTTGTATAAACTAGAATATAACGAATTATAAATGAACACACACAGTTTCGCAAGTTAAACATTTAGTCTCATTAGTTAACGTTCCTTCAAAAAGTTGATGTACCCAGGTGGTTTTTGGAGATGTACCCGAATTTGTTTCAAAACTTTTAGAAGAGGTTTCATCTGGTGAGGTAATAAGCACAATTAAACATAATTAGTATACATTTAGTATAATACATTATAATGACATAAATTGTAACAATGGATAAAATGATATACAACCGTCATCACTTCCTTGTGTATGTACACCATTTGTCAATTTTGATTTATCGTTAATGTTACAGAATAGTATTTGTTCTCGTTCAGAAATTTGATCAGAAATTTTTTTCTGCTGTTCCATAACATTCTCAGCGATAGTGTTTAAGACGTAATTTAAAAATTCATGAGCATCTTGGTGCATCGTTGACCGGAAAAATTCTAACGATATGCAAAAGAGGATTTAATGTAAAAAAAACAAATGATAATTTCCAAAATTTATAGTAAAAATTACCGTTTTCTTTTTTTAATTTTGTGATGAAATTATTTGGCGCTAAAACACCGGTCCGTTTTTTTTGAGTGCTTATTTTGGAAAACAAATCTTTCAAAGCACCAAATAAAGTGTTTTCAATAGCTTGAGTCGATGTAAGAGTTGAATCGCTATTAACTGTAACAATTCATAATGAATGTAAATAAATGTTTAAGAATAGTAAAAATCATTAAAATTAAAACATACTTTTAATATCGCCATTGACGTTAGGATCTTTTTTGGAGGAAGTAGAATTTGTGTTAGATGGTTGTTGATTTTGTGGAGACATGGGCTGTGCAGTCGGCCCCACTGACATATTGGGAAAATTAATGACACATTCTCGAAAAGGCTTGCAGAAATAAAGAGCCTGTAAAATTGAATTGCAATAACTGCATTTGAAGAAATGAGAGATATCAGTAATACTTGAAAAAGATTCGTAAGAAATTTCTTAGTGAATAAAAAGTTCACGTACCAAGTATTTCCGAACTGAAAAAAAAATGTCGAATTCAAATAAAAAAAAAGGTAAGAGTCAACACATTATAGATTTTTTGCGATTGATAAAGATTTCACCAACTATGATTGAATTATTACATTTTCTAAGCCGAAATATTTTTCAGAGCTAGCACTCCATGCTTCGCTTGTCGGCGTTTTTCCGGAGGGACCCTGAGATTAAACAACCACCGGAAACAAAAGAGAGAGATTAGCGGTACCTAACACCGAATCGAACATAAAGCTACAATTCACCCAATTTACCTACATACCAATTACAAGAAGGACGAGTAAACCTTAGAAAAAAAAAGCAAAAAAAAAACATACCATTCCGATCCACCTTAGAAGTGACATTATTAATATTATATATATATATTTTTTATATTTCGTAAGTTAAGCTTGAACAAAGCTTCGAATTTTTATAAAAATTCGGTTCAAAGACCAACCATAATAAGTAGGAATCAGCAGTATAATTTCAAATTGGCCATGAATCAAATCTTGATTGGATGGATCAAAACCGGCCAAAATTTCTATCGTGCTATTGACAGATCCAAAGAATCGGGGCAATCACATAAATGTAAAATCCACATATAAATATAGCTTGGACGATATTTAAATTATAGGAATTGAGTTTTCTTATATAATTTCTTAGCAAATAAACGACAAATTACAACAGATGGATAATAAATTTATAAATTTTGCGTTACTAATGAGATAATTCGTGCATGTAAACATGGAAACCACGGAAAAACAACGGAATATGGCGGTATCCAACGGAAGAAGCTTTGACCAGATAAATAAAATCTTCGATCAAATCGATGTGCGCCTTAAATTTATTCATTCATGAAATACAAAGCATTTTCTTTTTGAGTTTAAAATTATTCTTTTTACGGAATGCATGACTTTACTAATTGAAGCGGAGTCTATTTAATTTGATTGGTTAACTATCATAAAGGAATAGGAATAGCTAAACTTTGATTTCCAATATGCACATTTACTGATAAATTAGGTAAAAGTTTGATTTACATCTTATTTTTCGGGAGGAGTTTCTAATTCACGTTGAACGGCGTTCCGAGCTTCAATGCGTGAATGCCATGTCTTTAAATTCGGGAAGCCATCTTATTTTGAATTAGAATATAACGAATTATGTACAATTGATGACGTAAGACAAAAGAACTAACCTAATTTGATTCCAATCTGATCACGCAAATGAAATTGTCTATCCTCAAAACGTCCAGTTCTCAATAATTACCGGTATATAGATAGAATAATTATCATAGAAAGTTTGATCATTAAATACTCATTGAACAACTTTGCTCTTCAAGTAAGCTTTTCTTCCGGACCGTAATAATATTATCGCGAGTGTAATGTTCAAGAACGGATACTCTTATGCTCTACAAATCCGGACCTCCGATCAAAGTTTAATTAGGCTTTATAGATATTCCTTCTTTTTTGCTTACCATATTGATATGTAAAATTTATTCTGAGACAGGTCATTTGTTCCGGACCTATACGGAAGAGTCCGGACTTGCAAGACATAAAACGTACCTTTAAGAGAATCTATTATGAAAAATAAGATTGTTGAGTAACAAATAAATAAATATAGAGTGTACTGCGGCTTTGTTCAAAAATCGATCGTATATCCTTTATATGCCAAACTAAGTACGTACGTACGTACTTCGAGAAGCTAATTTTTGTATTACCACATGAACGATAGAATTATTATGCATTCAAAACGCTAAATACAGACTCTTATAAACATTTGCTCTCTAATATGTCTACGGTCGATGTTTCAGCATCTGCAATATAAAGCGTGATATTTGCCATCTTTCTCATTAAAAATGTCATAAAATTAAAATATTATTAATGATAACATATTTATTTGTAATCGACAATACCGATACTGCAATAGTATTAATATATTTGGCATGAAACCTGTTTTTACACACACCATATCCCAAAAAATATGCGCTAATGCGATTAAAAGTTTAAATTTATTAGACGTTGTGTAACAATTCTTTTTTTTTTTTTTATCGCACAAATCAGTATTTTTACGCATGCTATTATAATAAATAAATAAATAACTACATCGTTTGTCCGAAGTGGTGATGCAAACGGCCTGAGCCGAATCGCGAGCTAAATGGCTAAGCATCATGTAAATTTATAGAAGATTTTTACAATACTATATATTTTATTTTCATCAAGTTTTAATACTGTTAAAAAAATTTTTTTTTTTTGAATATTGATGGTGAATACTGTTAAAATTTTTGAATCAATTTTACTACGAAAAAACATCAACTTTTAATTATAAAATTTTAAATTTTTTATAACTTTTTAAAATAAAATAATTTAAAAAAGATATTTTATATATTTAATAGCTTTTTGGTTAAACTATCAAATCTACAAAAATTATTTATATTTTTAAAAACTTATATTAAAAAAAAGTTAAAATTTTGGCATTTATACTGTATATAAAAAAACATAACATAATTTAAATTTATTAATAAAAATTTAAATTTTATTAACAAAATGTATAATTGTATTAAGCTTTTCTGCATTTTTATTGGTTAATTATGTTATACAACAGCTAAAAAATTGGCAGTTATATATAAAAATATGTTGGCTTTAAGTGATATCTACTATAATAAATTAAAAATTTTGTATACCATAATTCTGGCAAAATTATTTTAATTCTGATCAAATTTTTAATATACTGTATTATATCCTATTTCCACCTTACTTAAAACTTTGTACAATTTCTAACACTTCTAATGATTTTGAATTAATAATGTCCTTTAGATATTAGTTTAGAAATTATGTCCTTGTAATTATTACCAATACCACTTTATCACTAATTATATATATTTTATTATTTATTTAGAATACATAACTAAAGTAGCAAAAATTTAAAAAAAAGAATTATATATAACTATATATATTATTTCTTCAATCAGGCTATTAAATAAATTGTATAGCACAAGAGCAATCAAATATTAAAATACATTAATGCTAGTAATATAACATGAATTATAAATTAAGAAATTTTATTAGTTGAAACTAGAATTAGAACTCTTATTAGTATATGAAATAATAATCATATTATTCTATTGCATATAAGTATAGAAAGTATAATAAATATAATACTTGGATCTTTATTGTATTAAAATAAACTTTGAAAGCAAAGTTTAGTAGAATGGAAAATAATGCTCTTTTGTATAAAGAAAAAAAATTTATATACTATTATAACATCAGACAAAAATATTATAATATTCTATACTAACCTTTGCTAGCATTAGTTCTTCTATTGTGATAGAAAGTACATTAAGGTTATGAATATTTTGCAAACAAAAAATTTTTCAAGAAATATCATTTGGTATATTGCATCAAACTTTAGGTTTATAATAAAGATACTGCATTGAAAACCTAATTATAACGAAAAAAGGTAAATAAGGTTATATATACTAAAAATTATTAATATATATTTATTTTCAACAAGAATGCTACAAATAGTCAAATCATTGTTTTTTATACTATCTTCAATACACTTATCAAATATATTCTTTATTTCATTTCTAATTTTTACTAAATTATAATACAAAAAATTAATTTTCTTTGAAGACATATATCTGAGAGATTTTATTTTAAATATTAAAAAATAGTATTTGTTGTTTTTAATTTGTATATAAACAGAAAAATCTGACCTTTTTCTCTGAAGCATAGAGTCAAATTTATATTTTCTGTAAATTGATAAATTTAAGACATCTGTAGATCTAAAAATAATTTATTTATATATTTAGTTATTATTTTAATAAACATATAAATCTATTTTTTTATATACAAACCATTTACACTTTAGATTGCTATTTATAATAAAAGGTGAAATTATTGATGCAAAGACCTCATAGATAAAAGAATCTTTTTATACATTTGCTTTGTTGGTATTATGTGGAAAATATTTATAATTATAAAATTATTAAAAATAAAATTAATTTGCAATAATACAATATATAGTAAGACCTCTCTAAGTACATCTCAGTATATAAAATTAAATATGTACTTAAAATAATATGCATATAGATTTTGTTTTCTGTATATAATTATTAAAGATTTATATATATAATGCACATGAAATTTCATTTAATATTTATTTTATTTATTGAATGCACATAAACCAACACTTGAATTTTATACACTAGTGCACTTCTCTTGGGACTGTAGTCAAAAAAAAGTAAATTATACACTTAAAGAGTGTGTGTATTTATAGAAAATAAAATAAATAATGCTCTTATAAGTTGGAGCTAAGTTATACTGTATATTTATATAGTATGTGTACTTATAAAGTATATACTTAGAGAGGCTTTATTGTATTTTTAACTTTGTAAATTTACATTAATTCAAAAATTTCT